ACGTCTTTTAAACATTGTAAATTCTACCTATATCCACCATTTCCTCTGGAAGTTTATTCCACGCGTGAACCACACTCTTGGGGGAGGGAAATGGTTGCCCCTCATGCCTTTTCTCAATCTTTCACCTCTTACCTTAAAAAATATGATCCTGGTCTTGAAATCCCCCACCCTAGGGAAAAGACACTTGCTATTCACCTTATCTGTACTCCTCAAGGACAGGACCTAAACAGTTCATGGTAGGGCCCTGGGGAGTGTTGTATCTTGGTACCTTTGTACCTGACATGGTGCCATAAGTGGCAACTTGTAAACTTTTCACTGTATTCATGTGATTACACGCGACAATGAAACTAATCTAGTTGATTAAAAATATGCTGCCCCCTGCCCCGGTCTTGAAATCCCCACCCCAGAGAAAGGATACTGCCCATCAACTTTTTGTTACCCCTCAGGATTTCAGAAACCACTTTCAGGTCAACCTCAATGTGCTACACCCCTGTGAAAGGAGTCCCAGTCCCCCATTATGACTCAATCCCTCCGTTCTCAGCAACGTCCTGGTAAATCTCATGTGAACTCTCTCCAGCTTAATAATATCCTTGCTATAACAGGTAGACCAGAACTGGACACAGTACTTCAGAAGAGGCCTCACCAACGTCCTGTACAACCTCTGCATGATGTCCCAACTTCTGTACACAACGGTCTGAGCAATGAAGGTAAGCTTACTAAACACCTTCTCAACCACCCTGTCTATATGTGATGCAAATTTAGAAGAATTAGGTAACTGAAACCTGAAGTATCTCTGTTCTACAATACCCAAGGCCCTATTTTAATTTGTAAGTGGATTTCCTCTGGGTGTTCCGGTTTCCTCCCACTGTCCAAAGATTTGCAGAGTGGGGGGATTGGTCATGCTAAATTGTGCATAATGTTCAGGGATGTGTAGATTAGGTGGATTATAGGGGGTATGGTTCTGGGTGGGATGCTCTGAGGGTCGGTGTGGACTTGTTGGGCTGTAGGGCCTGTTTCCGCACTGTAGGGATTCTATGATTTTATGATTTTCTATGAAGTCCTGCCTCCCTTTGTTTTACCACTATACAGTACCGCGCATTTATTCAAATTAAACTCCATCTGCCAGTCCTGAGCACATCCTGAGACTTTAAGCAACTTTTTTATCCAATTGGCAAGCTCATCCTGGATCCCATGTAAGCTAGCTTGACTAATTAGTCCACCACTTGGAATCTTGTCAAAGACTTTACTATAGTCCAGGTAAACAACGTTGACTGCTCTGCCCTCATCAGTCATCTTGGTTACTTCATCAAAAATCTCAATCAAATTTGTGAGACACGATTTCTCTCGCAGACAACCATGCTGATTATCCATAATCATTCCTTGCCTCTCCAAATGCTACCTTTCAAGATCACCTCCAACAAGTTATCCACCATCAAAGTCAGACTCTCAGAACAGGAGTTCCCAGGCTTCTTACATTCTTCAAATGAAGGCACAACATGAGCCACTCTGCAATCATCTGGCACCTCACCTGTAATTATAGATATTAGAATATTTCTGCAAGCAACCCCACATTTTCTCTTTTAATTTTCCACATGATGGGATGCACTAGAGCAGGTCGTGAGATGTAGTGTCATAAGAGTAATACAGTGTGGAAACAGGCCCTTTGGCCCAAACTGGTCCATGCTGACCATGGTGCCCACTCAGGTAGTTCCAATTGCTGGATTTGGTCCATGTCCCTCTAAACCCTTGCCATCCATATACCTACCCAATTATTTTTAAAATGTTGCTATTGAACCTGCCTCAACCACTTTCTCTGGCATCCCATTCCATATATGCACCACTTTCTGCATGAAGAAGTTGCCCCTCAGGTCCTTCTTAAATCTTTCCCCTCTCACCTTAAACCTATGACCTCAAGTTTTTAATTCCCCATCCCTGGTAAAAAGATTACATGCATTCATCCTATCTATGCCCCTCATGATTTTATACACCTCAATAAAATCACCCCCTCATTCTCCTAAGTTCTAAGGAATAAAGTCCTATCCTGACTAACCTGTCCCTACAACTCAGGCCTGGCAACATCCTAGTAAATCTTCTTTGCACAGTTTCCAGTTTAACTATGTCTTTCCTAAAACAGGTTGACCAAAACTGTGCACAATATTCCAGTGCGGCCTCACCAATGACTTATACAGCTGTAACATAACATCCCAGCTTCTATACTCAGTGCTTCAAACCATGAAGGCTAACATGTTAAATGCCTTCTTCACCACCTTTGTCTACCTGTGACACTACTTTCCACGAACTATGTACTGGTACTCCTGGGTCCCTAACTTTCACAACAGTCCTCAGGACCTTACCATTTACTGTATAATTCCTATCTTAACTCTATTGAATTGCATTTGCCAATCCTCAGCCCACTTCTCCATCTGATCAAGATCTCTCTGTAAATTTTAATAGCCTTCCTCGCTATCAACACTACCTTCTAATTTTATATCACCCACAAACTTAGTGATCATGCCTTGTATATTCACATCCAGATCATTTACGTAAATAACAAATAACAAAGGTCCCAGCACTGACCCCTCTGGCACACCACTAGTCACAGGCCTCCAGTCTGAGAAACAGCCTTCAACCATCACCCTCTGCTTCCTGAGCCAATTTTGAATCAAATTCGCTAGCTATCCCTGGATCCCATGACTAGCCTGCCGTGCGGGACCTTGTCAAAGGTGTACTAAAGTCCACATAGACAACACCCACTGCCCTACCCTCCTCTATGCTCTTGGTTACCTCTTAGAAAAACTGTTAAAAAAAATTGTCAGACATGACTTGCCGCACACAAATCCGTACTGACTATCCCTAATCAGACCTTGGCTATCCAAATGTTGGTTGATCCTGTCCCTCAGTATCCTGTCCAATAACTTGCCTACCACTGCTGTCAGGCTCACTGGCCTGTAGTTCCCTGGCTTGTCTTTGCTACCTTTCTTTAAACAATGGAACAAAGTTAGCCACCCTTCAGTCTTCCAGAACTTCACCAGTGGCTAAAGATGAAGCGAAAATCTCTGCAAGGACCTCTGCAATTTCCTCCCTAGCCTCCCGCAATGTCCGAGGATGGATTTGATCAGGCCCAGGGGATTTATCCACCTTAGTGCACCTTAAGGCAGTCCAAAACATCTGCACTTGTTTCCCTTATTTCCTCAGCATCCATGAATCTCTCCTCAGTAAACATTGAGGAGAAATAATCATTAAAAATCCCACCAGTCTTCTGTGGCTCCTGTGAACTTGTTTTCAAAATACAACATTTCTTTCCCTGAGATCTTTAGCCTCCATTTCTTTCTCCACAGTCATAAATGACACAAAATATTCCTTTGATGTCTCCCTCATCTCCTGAGGTTCAATACAAACATGACCTCTTTCATCTTTACAGGGCTATCCTTGGTGAACAAGCAGATGGGTGTTGGGCAATGAGAAAGGAATAATTGATAATCAAGTTGAGTGTGGGCCCTTAAGGAAAAGTGACCACAATAGATTGAATTCTTCATAAAGATGGAGAGTGATATTGTTGTTTCCGACTCTCGGGTCCTGTAATTAAATGAAAGAAGTTATAATGGCATGATGCTTGTGATAAATTGTGGATCGGTATTTCAATGGATGATGGGAGATGGATAATGGCAAACATTTAAAGAGGAAGTGGACAAGCTATGAAAGTTATTCATCTCAGTCTGGCATAAGAACAAAATGGGAAACATGGTCAAACCATGGCAGAGAAAGGGAAATGAATGGGTATTAAATTTAAGGAAACAGGATTCAAATTAGGTAAACAAAATAACAGACCTGAGGATTGGGAGAAGTTTAGATTTCAGCAAAGGGAGACAAAGGGATTTAATAAGAGGGAGAAAATAGAATATGAGAGTGCTCTTGCCGGGACCATACAAACCAATAGCATTTTTCTTTATTCATTCACAGGATGTGGGCATCGCTGGCTAAGCCAGAATTTATTGCCCACCCCTGATTGTCCAGAGGGCTGTCAAGAGTTAACTGCATTGCTGTGGGACTGGAGTCACTTATAGGCCAGACCGAGTAAAGATGACAGTTTCTTCCCCTGAAGGATATTCGTGAGCCAGATGGGTTTTTCCTGACAATCAAAAACAGTTTCCTGATCATCATTAAACTCTTAAGTGAACATTGATAGCAAAAGATTCGTCAAGAAGAAATATTGGTCTCCTTACAATCAGAAACATGGAAATTATAATGGGGGACAAAATGATGGCAGACCAATTATGTATGTCTTAGATTTTCAAAAAGGAGGCCACAAATAATGACCCAAAATTAAGGGGTTCCCAGGATCTAACAGGGAGGTAGAGTTGAAAGAAATTACTATTAGTAGGAAAATGATATTGGGAAAGCTCATGGGACAACCGGCAGATAAATCCCCAGAGATTGATAACCTTTGTCTCAGAGTAACTTAGGAAGTGGCCCTAGAAATGGCAGATGCACTTGTGGTTATCCTCAAATTCTATTGATTCTCTGAGTTCCTATGGATTGGAGGGTACTTAATGTTGCCCAAGTATTTAAGAAGGGAATCAGAGCGAAAATAGGGCATTTTCAAAGCATTGGTGGGAAAAAGTGTTCGGGTCCACTGTAAAAGTTGGGATAACAGAATACTTGGAAGATAGTGACAAGATCAGACAGAGTCAGCAGAACTTTTGTCTGTGAGGTCTCTGAGACTCTCTGTTGGGCATGAATTCCATCCACGCCACTCTCCATCCTGACTTAGAAAAGTATCGCTATTCCTTGAGAGTTACTGGGCCAAAATCCTGAATTCCCTCCCTAACAGCATTGTGGGTCCACCTCACGGACCGTAGTGGTTCACAAAGGCAGATCACTACTATCTTCTCAATGGCAACTCGGCTCAGCAAAGCCCACAGAAATTTAAGAAAAGCATTATCGAGGCCAACTGGGGATGTGGAATTGAAGCCTAAATAGATCAGCTTTGACCTTTTTGAGGCTCACTGGGCAGAATTAACTACTCTGACTCCTATTTTCTATGTTCTCTACTCTTTCTATCAAAATGCATCTCAGCAGGAATGGTGCATTCCCTGGAACTCAGAAGGATGAGGGCTGATTTGATTAAAATTTTCCAGATGTTAATTGAAGCTGGTTGGGGTGATAGAAAGTAACTGATCCACGTGTGGGTGAAGTGAGAGCTCAAACACCCTCCTTGCCTGCAGTAATCAGACAAGACTTGAGTTTCTTTATCCTCCAGTTTATTCGAACATACGAATGAGGAACAAGAGTAGGCCACGTAGCCCTTCGAGCCTACTCTGCGACTTAATAAGGTCACAGCCGATATGATTTCAAACTCTGTTCCATGTGCCTGCATATCCCTGAACATTTCATCATCTTGGTCATCAGAATCTGTCTGCCTCTGCATTAAAATGAATTTAAAGATTCTACATCCACTGCCTTTTGATGAAGGGAATTACAAAGATTCTCAGCCCTCTGAGAGAAAGTAAATGTTCTTCACCATTTCAAATGGACTCACCCCCAGCTTTAAACAATGACCCTCAGTTTGAGATTCTTCCACAAGGGGGATCATGTTTTCAACATTGACCTGTTCAGGTCCCCTCAGGATCTTTTAGGTTTAAATTTAGTCTCCTCTTTCTTTTCTAAACTTGAAAGGACACAGGCCTAACCTGTCTAGCCTTTCCTCATAAGGCAATCCACTCGTTCAAGGTATTCGTCCATTAAATCTTCTTTGAAATGCTTCCAACATATTAACAACTTTCTATAAGTACAGTGACCAGTACTGAACACT